TCCAGGCTGGATATAGCTGGTTTTGGCTGGACTCCCAGCTTGGCATCTCCCAGCCTGACCAGCTAAGACCAGGCTGGAAATGGCTGGAAACCAGCCTGGAAGTGGCTAAAATCCCTCTAAAACCAGGCAGGCGTACCAGCTAAAACCAGCCAATCAGCCAAGCCTGGTTTAAGCTGGATTTTTCAGCAGGGATATTATAAGAGTTGAAAATGTTGAGTTTTTATATGAGGTAGAAGTTTCAATGATTATGACATTAACTGGTTAAAAACACTGACGGTTTCAAGGTAAATTTTAACAAAATTTAATAAAAGGAACTTCAGGATGAGGCAAAGCTGCAATTTCCTCATTAAGTAGGTCGCACACCAGAAGCGCCGCTTGGCGGCGCGCAGCGCCATGCATTTTAGAATTCTAAACATAGGTTTCTATCAGGATACACACGACGGCTCAAGACGGAGTTCATTTTTCAGCCGCGCCACAAAGCACCATCTGATTAGTTTCATGTTAAATATCATTCGAATGTGCGCGTCTGGTGTGTGATACTTTAAACTGTCATATACGCGCCGTGTCGCGCCACCGAGCGGCGCTTCTGGTGTGCGACCTGCTTTAGTTAGCTCTCGTGTTTACTGAACATTTGAGACAATCACACCCTCTTCCTCACAGGAGTGTGGTCCTTCCCAGCCAACACTATGGTCATATCCACCTGGAGAAAATACAAATAATCTGTTACATTCCCCAGTTTACAGCTTCTGTACTCAAATTGTTGTCTTAATAACAAGCAAATAACAATTTGTTGTTGAAGAAATGTAAGTGGGAAAAAGCTAAATTAGAGGTCTTTAGAATTGTGTTCAAAGACAGTAGGTGTGTTCGACTTCATGCAGTGCTGCGCAGATTGATCGAAAAAGCGATACATGCTGGTTAGAAATTTTGTCCGGATTAACACTGCGCTGACGCCACGTGACTGTCACATGTGGCATCAAAGTACCGTTACAGTGCTCCGAGATAAGACAACTGATTCAGGCCGTGCAGCATCTGAAGAGCGACTGCACAAGCTTTGATGACAACACCAATATCACACAATTGGCCGAGTTCACCGCATGACAACAACCGCGTTTGTTTCAGGGTTATAATTGGACAGATTCCGATTCACAAACAATTCACTTTTCATACCCTCTCTATCTTGTACACATCATGCTTATTAAGGGTTCACGAAACCCTCTAGAATTTAAAAAAAAAAACATGTATCATATTTGTGTGTGTTGAGCATCAGTTAAGACAATGTTAGCACCTGTTAGCTTTAATTGTGGCAAAAACTGGATCATTTTGAGCTTTTATTAGCTAATTTCAGCTTTCGGGTTTAAAATGGGTGGGATTAAAATCGGCGACGTAGTGCAAAACTGCAGGTGCAAAGATGACGTGTCGGTTTCTCATTATTATTCATATCGGAGTTTTCTTATCCCATGAGAAAAGCCTGCTTCTCAATTATTCATGACTTTGCATGCTTTCCGAAGGCAAGCCAGTCCTGCCAGCGCCAAGCTGTGAGACATGGACCCACGGCACACAGTATTTAGCTGTTCATGAAGAGTCGTATATGTTTGTTTCCAAGGTCCACAAGGTTTGTTGCATGTTTTTCCTCGCTATGCTGTCAGGGTTGATACAGCAAAGCTGTTTGTGTCCGGCAAGCATTTTTGTCGGGAGAGCAGTCGGAAAAAAGGAGAATGGCAGACGTTGTCTTTTATCAGGAGTTCGTTCACATTTAGACACATCGCCGTGCTGCTGTGTTTGCCTAAATCCTCTAGATCACCAACATGGCTAATGATTAAAATAGACAGGGCAAGAGACCTGGTACACTGAGTCTCCCTTCAGACCTATGATTCAGACCCGGAGATAGAGGGAAGAGTCCTCATTTATAGTGTTTAAATGAACACGAATATCTTTATAATGATATAAATTGTGGTTATGAGTATATATAATTACAAAAAACTGTTTTTTTCAATTACTGTTCATTTCTTTGCATTTAAACTTTGTAAACTATAAAATCATGCATCTCCTTACGGTTTCTGTCTCATTTTGTGAGCTAACTGACAAGAGTTGTTCGCTTCCTTCTTTTCCCCTGCTGGCCACACCCACTCTTGCTCTTTGCTCGCGGAGCTCCATGCCCATTATGATGCACTTTTTTTTAAAATTCTGAGGTAGACCTGAACCGACAGTGGGGGGTGTCATGACCCTTTAAAAGACAACAAAAACTTTACTGCTTTAATCATGTTTTCTTAACAAATTAAGTTAAAGAAATATTTTATTAAATAATTATAAAAGAATTTTTTTATGATTATAATACATGGGGCAACTTTTACAATTCAGTGAATGTATAGCTGACATTTTATAGAAAAATGTAGTAATTTGGTCTTCAGTTAATTAAAACTGCTGCTGTAGTTTTCTCTGTTCTTGCTGTTCAAATATACATTTGTGCGTTGAAGTTCAGCTTCTTCCCTCCTTGTTCCCTATAGTTAAAGTGTAAATACAGTATTTGTTCCCCCCTTGTTCCCTGTAGTTAAAGGGTAAATACAGCATTTGCAGGTTGTAAATTAAAGTGAAGCATTATTCCCTCCTTGTTCCCTTTAGTTAAAGGGTAATTACAGCATCTGTTCCCTCCTTTTTCCCTGTAGTTTACAGGGTAACTCTTGAAGGTATTGAATTAAATACGCAAACACAATATACTTCTTTACTTTGTAACCTTTATTTTACTAAATAGGGATTTTAAAACACTTCATCTTAATCAAACATTGCCTGTACTCATTAATTTTCTTTTAGCTTAAGCAAAGTTCAAATTACAGGATTTTAAACATCGGCAGATAGCTGTGCTGTTCACACTACATGAGTTGATTTTGTGTCTTTTAATCGCTGTGGTGTTCACACTACGCAACACTACGTAAATGATTCACAAGAGGGGGGTTACACACTACAAGATCTGACAACAACCAGTTCCCCAACAGCTCAGTCCAGCTACCAAACCATAGCCAATGAAATGTTAAGGGAGGAGTCGTCGGAAAAAGCTGAACACTATTGGCTGCCTGTGTGCTGATTACATCACTGACAGTGTCTTAAGCTTTCAAGGACGCACTTAAAAACATCGTCAATCAGCTGATGCATCATTGGATTAATCGCTCATCTGCAAGGCTCGAGTGGATTGATAATTTTTTTTTACATCATATCATATCTATAACACCCTGATGTTTCCTAAATCGCTGTGTATAACATTTTCTAGCATTGTTATTTTTTAAATTACAAAACAGTAAAGAACTGAGCATCTCTAGCTTTAATTACCATATAGTTAAAATGACTGCATGCATGTCTGCTACTTTTCGCTGTGACTTTAAATATTTGTGCATTTTTTATTTTTTATTTTTTTGCCTAGCAACTTCCTGCTAACATAAACAACGTTTTATAGCAAAAACATAAATTACTTCAGATATTTCTTTCAAAACAGCATATTCTGTCTCAGGAAAATAGCTCCTGTTTGAAAGTGAAAATGAAAGCGAGGCCCAGACCTTTGCGTGTTCTAGTCTCTTAACTGCAAATTTATAGGCTGTATTGGCAAAAAAATATATTTTTAGGGTAATGGGGTCATGAAATATGATGACAGATATTCAGAGCTTAATTTTATTATCTCAATAGGAGCTTTGAATGTAAATATGACGTGACAATATTTTATATAAGAATGGCCAGAATGACCAGTATGGTAATTCTAATAGTTACAGAATTCTAGCTCCTCTGTGAATATAGCCTACTCTCGTGTCCGTGTCAAGGCAGAATGAAGCTAGTGCATCAATGGCCATTTTGGCCAATCACAGACGTTTCTGTTGAGCTCCTGAGCACACAGGCATTCGGTTCATGCTAATATGCTCTCATTGGCTGCAGCTCGTCCCTTCATCTGACCGCATGTGGGGTCGAGTCAGCCAACTGCTCTGGAATATTCAGCATGTTAGATATTGGATTCCCGTCTGCGAGGTGTCGGCGACGCTTCAGCAAGCCTCTTTGTTATGTTGTTCAGTAGTTCACACATAAAGACTGTTGAGCGTCATGCACGCGCAGATTTCTTCCCGATCAGCTCTGGCAATTTAAAAACTAGTGTCAGCCAGCCAAAGTGGCTAGTGGGAGCGGCTGTCTTACCCGACACAACCGATAACTACCCGCATTTGGCAGGTTGGTGAGTGTTAATGTAAAGCCCTGGATACAAAGTTAGCATTAGCTTTACTTTAAAAGATCTGGGTGTTATATTAGACAGCAATTTGACTTTTGAAAAATCATATATCCCATGTCACAAAATCTGCCTTCTTTCATCTAAAAAATATTGCTACATTACAAAGTATGCTGTCCATCTTAGATGCAGAAAAGCTAGTTCATGCTTTTATGACTTATATGCTGGATTACTGTAATGCTCTGTTCCCTGGTTGCCCAGCATCCTCTATTAACAAACTTAAGCTAGTACAAAATTCAGCTGCCGGAGTTCTTATCAGGTCTAGAAAATAAGATCATATCACCCAAATTTGATCCACCTTACACTGGCTGCCAGTTAAGCTTCGTATTGATTTTAAACTATTACTTCTTACCTATAAAGCGTTAAATGGCACCTACACAGCAAATTTTGGTCTTTGGAATAAACTCCATAGGAGTTAAAATCAACTCAATCTGAGTGTACATGCGTGACCATCAAATTAACTCCAGTACAGAGTTAAAGTAACTAAATTTTTTTAGTTAAATTTTAACACATTTTTTTTAGTTAAAATTTAACTCTTTTTGGAGTCAAAATAATACTCCTACAGAGAGTACTTGAAAACTATAAACTCCTTATGAGTGTTAAAAATCAACACTTTTTATGAGTTAAATGTACTTCACACAATATATATTTTTATGTGAAAATGATTACACTGAATGCTATACTCTTCACGTAAAGCTTTTATTTAAACAAATCCATACATTACTTTTAAAAGTTGCATGCATGGACAAACTTTGAAATTAATTACCATTAGAAAATACAATCTAACAGCAATATATTTATGGTTAACAGAGTAAAAACTAGAAAGTAAACATGTATAAAACCCTGTCAGCACATCACTGCATTTTATAAAATCAAGTTTGCAGAATTATATAAAAACAAAATACTAATAGGATTGTGTAACCTGAGGTAGACACATATACATCAGATGAAGTAACAAGAACTTCACAGTGAACAAATTTCAATAACAAATCATATAATACAACTCTCTGACAAAACATAAAATTGTGAATCACAAACATATGACATTTGGGAATCAAAAGATTTGAAATGTCTTAATCTTTCCCTTTCTACAACAAGTACCTTTCTTGGAAGGTTTTCACTAACTTGAAAAGCATGGAAGTGATCATGGAAACATGTTTCATGCTCAATCAAAAAAAAAAACACTTCACCATTATGTAAAATGATTGAGGTTATTTTACTGAAAACTGGCATGTTTTCATTTGTACCTGTGCAAACAAAGAGTCCAACACGATACTCAACACCATTACATCTTATCCACTTTGTAAGATTGACAGTGGCTTGTGAATCAACTTGAAGAGAGGCACTTACATCTTCTGAAAATTAAAGTGTTTCAAGTGAACTAATTTTGACTGGACCAGATTCAACTGTCTTTAAAGACAAGCATTCCCAATGATATGCTACTGCAAACTGGTGTTTATTTGCAAGCAAAACAGTCAAATTTTTGAAGTTCTTCACAGAATCTTTAAAAAATTTGTGTTTTGCCTCAAATCTCATGGTCCAGATTTGAATGAGTGGCCCGACCTTTCTAATACACCTTGGGTAATGCACCATAAAATGGTGTTTTGGAAGCAAGTTGTTTGATGGGTACAGTTCCTTAAAGAGTTTATGATGTTCATACATTTTGACATTTTGGTCAAAAAAAATAAAATTAGTGCTTGTTCAGAAGCCTTGCTCTTAGCTCTTTGACTTTTGGAGTTTCCTCAGTTGAGCCTATATCGATATTGTACACAGTTGTCTGCACAAATGTGTACAGGCTGGACAGAGCATCATCATATTTCACACCGAAAACAAAATGAGATTTGAACAACTCGTCAAATGCACCCAAGGATGTGCATGATTGACAAGGCAGAATTTTTCTGTCCATGACAATGTAGAAGGTGGAAACCTGTGCTTTTGATGTCCCTGAGGCAAGAAGATACGGCTGAGGGTTTCCTTCAGTGGTCAGGAGATGATCATCTAGGCTTTGGCATGACTGAAATAACAAAAATGACCCTTTATTAACTATTTGTTTAAAATTAGGCATTAAATAAAATATTTAAACTAGAATAGTGTTGTTTTAGCAAACCTTATAAAATTTGACCAGATGAGTTGTTGCCTCTTCAACACTGATCTTCTTGGGCCGCTTTCTTCCAGCTGGTTGTGGAGTAAGTAGATGCAGCAGGATGAATAGAGAAGCCATGTCGCTGTCCCATTCTAAAGACAGAAAATAACAGTAGTTATTTCAAACCAGTCTGTTGAAGGCATTGATAAGTTAACCTTGTGTCTTTTGTGTATCATAATATCTTACAAGTACAAACTGTTAGTGGGAAATTGTTGTTGTTGTGTGATAAAGACCAAACAAAGATTTTTAATTTCATATAGTTAATATCAAAGCCAATGAAACTTTTACATTCATCATTTTTTTAATGGAAATAATTTATTTTGAACAGCTTTTACAAACCATGAATTTACTGATGATATTCTGTAACAGAATATATTTTAGAAAACAATTGTGTTGTGTTTTTAGCAGACATTTGGAGAATAAATGCTTTTGTTAAATAATCAAAAACTTTTAAAGTTACTTCACCTCACAATGGAAATGTTATCAATAAATCACGTCATTTAACCTATAAAATCTTTGTTTATTTTCATAATACATCTTGATATTTAGGATGAAAACCAGGAAGCTTGTGACTGACCCATTGACAGTCAAGTAATAAACTTGTCATAAACTTGTCAGGGTCCAGAAAAGTCAAATTCCATCTGAAATCAATGGTTTAGACTGAATTCTATGAAGTGTCAAGAACACTTTTTGTACCAAAAGTATTCTTCTTGCATAAAATCATGGTTGAACCACTGATGGCAGATTGACTATTTGACAATTTCTTACATATTTTGCTGAACTCTGCTAGTGAAATTTAGCTGGCAGTCAATGGGACAGTCACAAGTCTCCTGAATTTTATCCAAAATTCCTTTATTTAGAAGATAAACATAGTTTTTATGAGTTTGGAACAACATGGGGTAAGTGATTAATGGTAAAAATCTTTATTTTAGAATGGAGTATCCCTTAAACCAGAAGACTGTTTTAAGTAAACTCATTGCTATTTTAACAATCACTGTACCTGGATCATCAGTTGTGTCAGAATCCTCCTTCAGAGCAGCTTTCAAATGTCGTTTTAGTAGAGCAGTCTCTTTAAGGTTCCTGGCCTCCTGGATGACTTTTTCTTTAAAACTGGTGCTCCATTTTTCCAAGAATCTTGAAGCAACCTCTGCTCCAAACAACAATGAGAAGTCATGCGAAATCTAATAAAAAAAATAAAAAAAACAACAGTTTAAACATTTATTGTGACTTAATGTTTTTTTATATTCAAAAAAAATATTTTTATTGAATATTTACCAGTCCTTTGACATCCAAGAAACGCGGGAACATTTGTAGTACATCAGCTGAGCGCTGAGGGTCATGGAGAATCTGTTGACGGTAGTGGAAAGTTTCTTTCATTTTCTTGAACACTGTGTCATGATCAGTTGTGTGATGGAGGAGTGACATAGCTTCCATGCATTCATCTCCCATTCGCTGGTCATCTAGAGCTCCAACTGTTCTTAATAATGTGGGACCTCCTTTTAGCTCCACTCTGCTCTGTGAGGTAGAGGAGGTTCTGGATTTACGCTGCACAGTCTTCATGCGCCACTCAAGAAAGCCAGTGTTACTCTGAATGTCATAGAAATGTTCCTGACAAAAAGCAGTATATTATGTTAGACAAAATAATACAATTGCAAAGGCTCAAGCATAAAAAGTTAATGGTTCGGTTGGAAAACTTACATATCCTTTCTTAGAGTATGGGTCTTTTAAGGTTGGGAACAGTGACACAATACCAAAGGCATGAAACTCTTTTGCTCCTTTACTAACAGCTCTTCTGCAAAGAAAAACATACGTCTTAAGATCATATTCTAATAAAAAGTATAGTCATATGTTCTTAAACTTCTTACCCTTCCTTTTCACGCATGTGAGCTACAATTATGTTCACCATTAACCGTCTTGTAGAATCTTTTAAGCTCCCAGTCTCTTCATACTCTTTAATCACAGTCAGCCCAGCAGGCTTTGAAGATAGAATTTGCTTGATATTCTGAAAGAAATAAAACATTATATAGAAAAATAAGAACCAAAATTAGACCTGTTTAAAAAAAAACTTATCTAATAACAGGACATATTTAATACTTTAAAATGCATTTATTTTTTTAACTGCAAGTTTACAGTATAACATTATCTAAAACATAAGTTATAGATAGTTTACAGATCTATCTGTATGGAAGTAAAAAACAAAACAAAAAAGGAAACGTACACTTCTTGCATGGACACTGTCCAATAAAGGTTGAATTATTTGAGATCCAGAATCACTGCTGCTTAAACTGCTTGACACAGACAACGTATCGGTCAAACTTGGGGAGGAGGGTACTTCAACAACCCCTTGCTGCAGAACAGTCAGATCTGGAAAAAAATCACAAAAACAACACAGTATAAAACAATTAGGCTAATCTAGGAACTAATGTTGTGTAGTAGGGTGGATATTTCCCTGATAATTATTTAATTACATATAACTCTACTTACCACAAGTAGTGACAGTAACATATTCTGTCTGATTGGAAGAGGCACCAAACTCTGTCAGGTCTGAGAAGTCTGTAGAGCCCTTTGATGTTTCAGCAAATGGAAGTTCTGAAATGCACAGTTTCACTCCAATTCAATCCGAGTTATAACACAAACTTTCAAAATCTTTAAAAAAATTGTAATAAAAATCCTACCATCATCAGTGTGGATGATAAAACACATTTCTTTGTTTGTCGCAAGTTCTGGAAATACATCCTCATCCACTTCTATGCCATGGTCATCTGTGACTTTCAATGTTGTATCCTCTGCTATAAGAAACTTCTGCTGGACTACATCATAACACCAACGTATAATTTATAAAATACATTTCAAAATTACTTTTATTATTATAGCTTTATATATATAAGTATTCTTTATTAACTAAATATTAAACCTCACCTGCACTGTGAAAATCCAAGAAAGAGACTTCTTCCAGTTTAATATACTTCTTCTTGCCTTCAAATTGCACTTTTATCAACATCGTGACCTGTAATGTAAGAGATAAAATGACATTTAACAATTAATGTTGCTAAGAATGTTATTTATACATATATATATTATGTTATATATATATATATATATATATATATATATATATATATATATATATATATATATATATATATATATATATCTTAAAACGGCATAGTCTCATGCTCACGACTAAGTTACACCATGTTACAATCCAAAACATTACAAGACCAATATTACACGTATCAAATCTTACAGACATAACGTTAAATACATAAACATGTATTGCTGAATATTAACGTTAACGTTCCCTCGTTAGCCTATTTGAAAGCTGAATAGCATGTTTCTTCATCTGCTCGAGCAATTCGATAGAATACAAAAAATACATGTTTTATGGAATTATCTGTCGTCTTTGATACGACTCTTGGCCAAGAAAGTCTTACCTCCCTGACTCATTTTCCCTCATCGTTCAGCTTCATAGCCATGCTTAATCAAAATAAGGTCATCATCATGTAAACTTAAGTTTTGTCGACTTGCAAAACGTTACAGCAGTTACACCGGTTTCATAGCACATAGACGCGCGTATTTTATCGGCGTGACAGTTAAACAACCGGGATTTACACGGGGAGCAGAGCAGCGTGAGAGGCGCGCGGGAATCCTTTTCTGCGTGTATGCGTCAGTTTGATTTCACCAGCGTTGTGTCGGTTGCACATAGAGTAAAAAGCTTGCGCATCCAAAAGACACTTAACGTGAATGGACCCTGGCGTCTTTATTCACTCTGAATCCGTACACTTTCATGAAGTAAATGGTAACTTATCTCAAAGTTTTTACTAGGGCTAACTTTAGCTTTTTTTTCTCTCCCTGTCACTCCGTGCCGCCCTGGGGGATCACCCATATTGGCCATGCCTAAATCCGCCACTCTCTTCTCGACAGCAAAACACATTTTTTACAAAGTGAAACGAAAGATGATTAGGTAGTTCGTTCACATCGTCGAATAAGTTTTTAAAACAGCGCACAATACAGTCACGTTTGAAAATGGATAAGCTAACTTGAGTTAGGCGCCAATCTCGCTACATGCTGTCTCTAACGACAGAAAAACGAAACCGCTAGAGCAAAACGCCTTGCTGTCATAAAATATCGAACATTCCAAAATATTTTTTATACATGTATAACAATGCGCTTTTACCTACCTCACAACGAAGAGCATTCCTCCAATTCCCTCGTGCTGCTCGGCAGGGTCGTGTAATGGCGCTCTAGCTAAACATTTAACTCCAGTTTTGACGTTAAAGCAGGCTCCTGAACACCAGCGAATGAACTCCAAAATAAAACTCACCAAAAAGTATCCCATAACACACAAGTGTGTAGGAGTTTAAAAATAAACTCCAAAAATGTAACTCTTTCACACTTTTTTGACTAACTCCTAATTTTTCAACTCCAGAAATTTGCTGTGTATGGTGAAAAATCTACTTTTTAAGCTGTTTGGACAGATAGACCGACATATTGGGGTGATATAAACACAGCCAGTCCTTTTTTTTTTTCAATTTAACAACATAAAAACCGCGGTATAATTGGAGCGGTTTTTAGACTGACCACCGAATTGATTGACAGCTGCGTGTAATTACATATCCTGGTAGTCATGTGTATAATCATGTCACCAAGACCAGACGTGCACAAAGCAACCAGGAATAAAAAGTCTGTTGATTGAGGATCATCAATTATTATCAAATGTGATCAAGAGTAAGTTTTACATGTTTTAAATGTTTTAAAACAGTGCACGTGTGTAATGAAGTACAGCGATTTACTTCAGCTTTACTTCATCAGCACAGCCGCGTGTCAAAACAATTAAAAGGAAGACGCTTCAATCCCGGTTTGTGGACATTAAATCAGGTTTATTTTGTACATTAACATAACAGATATGTAACTACATTGTGTGTGACTCATCGATGCATCTGCACAATAAATACTCATTGGTAAAGTTCTTACTGTAGTATTTCTCACAAACGTTAAGTGACATCTTCCTTTAAGTCTGTTATCTGACGCAGCCGATGGAGGAGATTAAGGCACGCAGAAAGGCACATAGAAACAGTAGGCAGGGAGGACTAGCCTTAAAAGCGCAGTATGACAAAACAGCCCATTGGTGGAAAAACATATAAAATAGGATCTTGTAAAGGGTATAATGAAAAATCTGCTGGGTGTTTTGAGCTGAAACTTCACAGACACAATCTGGAGACACAAAACATTTTAAATCTGAAAAAAGGGGTAACCTAGGTGCCCTTTAAATAATCTAGCTCCTGTTTATCTAACCAACCTCCTGTCTCGCTACAATCCAACCGGCTATTTAAGATCTCAAAACTCAGGGCTTCTGGTAGTACCTAGAATAGCAAAGTCGAGTAAAAGAGGTCAACCCTTCTCATTTATGGCTCCTGATAACTGGAGCATTAAGCTACTTCTCTGGAATAGCCTTCCTGATAATGTCCAAGGTTCAGACACTTTCTCGCAGTTCAAAACAAGATTAATCTTTTTAGCAAAGTATACACTCAATGCATTACATAGTAGTATGATGCATGAATGTGCTCCATGCAGGTTTTTGCATCTTATTTATATATCCTATGAACAGTAGCTACGCTAATTATTCTCTTTATTCTCTCATTCAACTTAGGGATACTCATAGAGATTATGCAGTGCCAATGAAGTGATCCAAGACCTGTGAAGAGATGTTCCCAAGGTTTCCACATTCCCGGACCAGGCCATGTCCTGAGCAGCTGCTTTGGTGGCCATGTAGGATTATTTGTTTGTTTGCTTTATTTTAGAGCACATTTAAAAGCAACAGATGTTGACCAAAGTGCTTTACAAAAAGACCAACATACAAAAATAAGCAAAATATATAAAACATTAAAATTAATTATTTGCAATCAAAAAGCAAGAGACAGAAGGTGTTTTTTAAATGAGACTTAAGCATCAAGGGAAAAAACATGACCTAAAGGCAGACAATTCCACAGACGGGTTGCTGTGCCAGAAAAAGCCCTGTTACCTCTTGATTTCAATTGTGTTTAGGGAACAACTAGCTGAAACTTGTTTTCCGACCTGATTGGCCTCAGTGAAGTATGGCAGTGAAGAAGCTCACAGATGTAAATAGGTGCCAGACCATTCAACCCATTAAAAAATAAGTAGCAATAAATTGTATTGAATCCTAAATTGGACTGGGAGCCAGTGAAGAGATGATAAAACTGGTGAGATACTAGAATTTTTTTGGGTCTCAGTTAAAAGCCTACCAGCTACACTTTAAACCAGCTGCAGGCGTGCAATTGAAGCCTGCAAAACTCCTGAATACAAAGAGTTGCAGTAGTCCAATCTGGACATAATAAAAACATTGATGATGGTTTCCAACTCTTTAAAAGACAGAAAAGGTGTTGATATGGCAATGTTCCTTAATTGATAGAAACTACTTTTGACTTTATTTGCTAGTCAAACTTTAACTCAGAGTCAAAGATAACTCCAAGACTTTTTGCATGACTTACAGATTTACAGACACTTGGAGGGCCAAACACTAGTACTTGTAGTTACTTTTCAGTATTAGTAGTTTTTGATTCATTCAAGTGTAAAAAATTACCAGCCAACTTTTCCTTGATCTCTTGTTAAAACAGTTAAAATAGGACTGTAAAATGGGAAGGGTTTTCTCCCATTGTTTTGGCATATAAAGCTGATTATCATCAGCATAGAGATGGTACCTTACATTATGCTTCCTACAAATAGGATTGAATACAAATTCGGATGCTGTGACAAGTCCAGCAAACCCTGACGCCATCATTTATTCACTAGAGAAAACCCTGGCACTTTGGCATACATTGACATTTTGGTATCAAGAATGGAAACTCCTATGGAACAACAAAAAGGGTGTAGAGCTGGTGTGAAACCCTGATTTAAAAAAAAGGTGATACAAGCCACCCCTGCCTGTTATTATTATGGGTAATGTTCGATTGCTTGGGAACAAGATGGAGGAGCTGATGGCACTTGTAAGAACACAGCGGAATTATCATGAGTACTAATGAGGCTCTATTATTTGCCGAGAAAATTCTTCTATGTGATCGCTATAACAGTGTATATACAACGTGTGTGAGCATATTAACACCGCCACAGCCAGAATACAGTAAAAATATACTCATTCACTTATTGTTATCTCCAGAGATTTTAGTTACGTATCTCTACAGAGTACTCTGCACACTTTTACCCAGTATGTGGACCGTGGCTCAAGAGACTGTAAAACTCTGGACTTGCTATATGCAAATGTGAAAGATGCCTATGCTTCTACACCACTTCCTCCTTTGGGGCGATTGGACCATAATCTTATTTACATCAGATCTGTCTATGTCTTGGCTATAAGGTAGCAGTCACTAACGATTAGAACAGTTCAAGTATGGTCTGATTCTGTTTATGAGGCATTGATGGATTGTTTTGATTCAACGTACTGGGAGGTTCTATGCAAATCTCACAACAAAGACATTGATAGTCCAACAGAGCATATAACTGATCATATAAACTATTGTGTTGAGAGCACAGTACTCACAAAAAAGGTTAGCTACTACTTAAACACTAAGCCATGGGTGGCCCCTGAATCAAAGGCATTATTAAATGAAATAAAAGAGGCCATTCTTAGCAGGCAATAGAGAGGCATTATGCGGGTTCAGAAACAGCTAAAATCTTCAATTGAGGAGAAGGATAAACTATACATTTATAATGGAATCGAAGTTACACCAAAGAATTTTAGAGATGTATGGAGTGATTTAATTAGGATGTCTGGTAATAGTGTAAAGAAAATGTACTTCCTCTGTTGGACAGAATTGCGTGGATGAAATTAATATGTTGTTTAATAGATTTGATGCAGGATCCAGTGTTTATAAAAATTCTGATCCGAGTATACAAAGTTCCTTTTTAGATACACCGTCAGTTTTAACATTAAATTTTCTACTAAAGAATCTGTTACTAAACTAGATGTAACCATAGAACTGTAAAGCCTGGGTTCACTTGAAGAAGGCACTGGATCTCCAGATTATCAA